AAATGTTCTCTGTTTGATGTGATGTTGCCATTTCTATCCTTGAGTTTGACTATTTGTTTATTTCCATTTGTGAGTTTGCGTCTCATTATTTTCATACTCTTATTTTCCTCAATGGTTTTGATGATTTTCTCATCTTTGTATTTTCTTAAGTCTTTTCTGATTTCTCTTGATACTTCCTTGTTCATTCTATTTATATCGTCGTTACTAGAGTTTTCATCGCTTCTCAGTATTCTTCTGTGTTCCATTTTTTTCTGTGTTTCCAGACTAATTTTTATATATATATATAGCATCGGGAAAGGAGTACGACCATCAATCCAATATAAATTAAGGATCACTCAGCCGAGTGGTTGGTTCTTTTATCACATATATTTATATTTTTTTTCTTGCAGATATCTAAGATAGCATGTGAAATTCTATCAACATCGTCAGACCAAGATATAAATGAGGAAAATTTGACACGACAAGCAACTGAAGTTAAAAACACTGAAAAGAAAGGACGAAAACGTAAACGTCGATAAAACAGTTTTTAAGTAATGGTCAACTGCCGCACATGTATTCTTCTTTTTTGTGCAGTCACTTCTGTGTTGTGTGACCCTTTGTTTTCGCTATTGAGAAGTTTGGCCAACATAACAGCTCTGGCAATCCAAACAAGGCAGTTTGTAGATAACATTAGTTTTATTTACAATTGGCGTCTTGTCTTTTACTTTAGAAAACAGTTGTCGGTTTTCTAATAAATTATATTGGACAATTTTAATGTTAGTAAATTGTTAAACTAAACTTTTTAAATTGTTTGTAATGCTCCGATATTAGTGGGACCGTCAAAAATGTCTGAGTTAAATATCAATTTTTTAAGGATATGTTTTGGGTATCCATTATTTTGAAAGATGTTTAACAGCACATTTAAGTTTCTGTTTATGAATTTATCATCACTAATATGCCTTACCCTATTCTTCATTAGAATCACTGTATTAAACTTTTGATGAGTAGGATGATTTGAAAAAAAGTTTAAGTATTTTCCAGAGTGTGTTGGCTTTTGATACCAATCTATCATGACATTTTTGATGGTCCCACTGATATCGGAGCAGTACAAACAATCCAATATAAAAAACTACCATTAATAAAACAGTTCTAATTGGTAATTTAATCTATCCCTAACCGGTTTTGTAATAATTGGTAGTTTTTGTTTTATTTTTGCTATTATTAGTGTATGGTCACTGTTGGTGTAACTTTTGCAATCGATCATTGCCTTATCACGTTTGCTTTCAATTAGGACATGATCTATCTGATTTTTTATTCTTTTATCGAGAGAAATCCATGTTACCTTATTAATGTCTTTGTGATCAAAACTTCTATCTTAAGCTAGCTATCTTAATTTTTTTCTCTGTAGCAAATTCTATTAACTTTTTTCCGTTTTCATTTGATTCCTTGTGTAAACTTCTTTCCCCTGTTATTATTCTATATATTTCCTCTTTTTCTACTTTCTTATTTATGTGACCAATAATTATCTTTATATCTTATTTTTGTATATTTCCTATTAGGGTGCTCAGCTTTTCGTATAACTCTGTTTTGGTTTCCAAATTCTTATGTTCAGTGAGCGCATGTATGTTAATGATATTTATTTGTATATATTTTCTTCTTACTCTCAAGTAACATATCCTGTCCGATATTGGTTGAAAATCTACAACTGCTTTGTTTACTTTCTCCGAAACAATGAAACCCACTCCAAAATATGTCTTGGTCCCTCCACTCTTGAACAGTGTACTCTTTTCCATTTTTATTATTTCATTTCGCAGTTGTTTCGTTTCTTGCAGGGCAAGAATATCTACTGTATATGTTTCCATAATTTCGTCTAAGTTTTTTAAAACTGCCTCCTCATAATAACCTCTCACATTTCAACTCACAATTTTTATAATGTCCTTAGATTGTTGCGTGTCTTTTGTGTATATTTTTCCGTGTTCCCTGGTCATATTCCTTTGACCTGCTGTTTGGGTGTCAAACCTTCCCAAATATTTTTCTTCTACTAGCAATTGTTCTTTGGTATTTTCCTTCAGTTCTATGGGATGAAGAAAAACAACAGTTTTTCTTCATCCCATATCCGTTCTTTCCCATTCACGAATCACTTCTGATAACCTATTTTTATCTGTTTTCCTTTACTTTTTTCTTTCTTTGCCATTTTAACTATTTCTTTCTGAATTTCTTTTTCTTTTGATGTAGATGCGATCTTTATATTACTTCAACTTACTTTTGCTATTTAGTATCTCAGTTTTATCTGTGAAAGTTTTTTTGTTTCTATGGCACAAACTATTTCTCCTATCTTGGTTGCGTTCCTTACTTTTATTTTCACCTTCAGTTCTTGTGATATGAATGTTTCCATACTTTCTTTTAGTTTTTTATCATCATTTGTATCTATTTTTAAACCCGATATCACCAAACTGTTCTTTTTAGTTGTTTTCTCCAGTTGTTTCATTCTGTCTTGGGTTGTTGCAGACAAACATAGTGTACAGACCAACGGATTAAGCACAACAGCCGTAGCCAAACATTCTTTAGAAAATAGCCATTCTTTTGATTTTGAAAATGTACAGATTTTGAAAAAATAACAAAATTACAACAAAAGATGCATATTTGAGATGGTTCACGTAAAAAAAAGATCCAAGTTATATCAATAATAAGACTGACATCTAAGATCTTTCCAATATGTATCATAATTTAATAAACTGAGTTGTCATGAAGTGCACCATGGCAGATATTTAAGATACGACCCTCAATCACACCTATTTTAAGGTACCTGCCAGATGTCATCTGTCCAAAACGTCCATCTGTTAAACTTCCAAAAGTGTAAACAAAAAATATAATTGTATAATGTAATGTTTATAAAAATGTATTTTTATTTACAATAGACCGACAAACCGAGAAAATAAAAAAAAAGTTTCTGAAAGGATCTCAGATCTCAAATCTCTCTCATCGATTGTCTTTTTAGGTAACTGTGTATGTATGAGTTTAAGAAAAAAGAATTTGTAATAATAACTTTGACTGGTAACTGGTCAAATATTGTATCCAAATTTTGAAAGTTGTTCCGCCTTTGGTGGCTTTTGCCATTACTGTGATCCATCTGCATAAGTAATTATGTTTGCTAGGGTGAATTGTTATAACTTAATAGCCGAGTTTAACGTTCATTATTTATTAAGGTCTTACGAAGTCCTTTCGTAGCCCGAATTAAAATAGGGATGGATAATGGGCTAAGTATTCTGAAGGTTCATAATATCAAATTTATAATAGTTATTTATATGTCAAAACCGGAAAGTGGTATTTTACAGACCTACTTCATGATAACAGTTGTCGGGTGTGGTGTATTTGGATAATTAAAGCCTAAATTTCCTTTCCATACAATTTTGGTGCATTTGACTAGAAAATCCTTTAATACGATTTGCTTTTGTGGGTCCCAAAGCAGATAATATGTTCACATATTTTTTAATTATCATTGCGTACTATTGTTACATACGGATTACATAAAATATTTTTCAAAAGAGCATCAAAAATATAAAATTGTTTTATTATGCGAAATGTACGAAAAATTATTAAAAATAATGAATAAAGCCAATATACATAATTCTCGTCAAAAATTTCAGGGAATAATGCCTATATCAGGGAAATGAAAAAGCAAAAAAAATTGTATTATTACTAATTTCTATCCAGAATCGGCTTTTCTAATTATATTAGCTTAAAGACTTATACAAAGCAGCCTACGACTCTGTGAATAGAAGAGAAATGTTTAAAGCAATGAAAGAGCTAGGAATACCAAATCAGTTGGTAAATTTCACAAAACTAACTCTTGAAAAAGTTTATTGTAGATTCTGTAGATTCAATCTGGCTCTAGAAAAAGTAATACGGATGTCACAAATCACAACCATTGGTTCAATATATAATAAATCAGTGCAAATCTTTGCCTATGCTTGGGAGAACGAAAAACGCTGTACAAAGGACGTATGAAGTACCATTAATTCCAGCCGTACTTATTTGAGGACGCCTATAAAAATAAACAGTCTATTGAATTTTAAAATGTTTTGAACTAATAGACGTGTTCCCTTATCGAGATAAATAGCTTAGTCAGTAACTGGCTTCAGTTTGCTTCAAATACAACCAGATGTGATTATATTCTTCTTATGGTGCCTATCCGTTATGGATGTTGGACACTAAAAAGTCTATTCTGACTTTGTTGACTGTTGTCCTGGAAAGTCCGGTAGTGGTTAAATTAAACCATTTTTGCAGGTTATGCAGCCAGGATATTCTTCTTCGTCCTGGACCTCTTTTCACATGCACTTTACCTTGAAGTATGGTCCGAAGTAGGTCATATCGTTGTTCATTGCGCATTATATAGCCCAGGTATTCCAGTTTACGACGTTTTATGGTTACGACTAGTTCGCGCTCTTTACACATTCTATGTAGTACTTCTTCGTTGGTAACTTTGTCTATCCGGGAAATCCTTAACATGTGTCTATAGCACCACATCTCAAATGCTTCTAATCTCTTCAGTGATGCTTTAGTTAAGGTCCATGATTCCACGCCATATAAAAGAACGGAAAATACGTAACATTTTAGTAAACGAACTTTTATTTCCAATTTTATGTCATGGCTGTTAAAGATTTTTTTCATTTTGACGAAAGCTGATCTTGCCTTCTCGATCCTTATCTTAATTTCCGTCGATTGGTCCCACTGTTCATTTAAGTGTGCACCCAGATAACAAAAGTTGGTGATTTGTTTTACAGGTTGTTGGTTAACTAGTGATTGACCAGGTGGTATCCTATTTTTGCTTATAACCATCTATCCAGTAAAAAGGATCGGTTACACTGACAATCGCTCGATCCCTATATGTATCAGTTATCCATTTGAATCTCCGTACTACCATATGGTGGTGTAGATTCGGAGTTTTCCTTAATCGAGATTAACACCTTTCGGCATTTCTTAATCTCTCTAGAGTTTGAATCATAATGAAATATACCATGTAACAAATAAAACTTTAATAAAAAAAATAACAATAAAATCATTGTAAAAATATAACATTATATTAAAATTACTAAGACTAAAATTACTATTGGACAATTCTAAAATTATAAATATTTTATGATGGACAATATATTTGTCCTCAAATGTACGCTTTGCTTCAACTTTTTATCTGGATTGCATTGTTATTCTTGCTCAATTTGATATACACAAATTCAACTGTCCACATCAACACACTTATTAACATTCCTCCGGTAAGAACCTGTACTGCTATATTGTCATTGTTGGTCAAACCTTTGAGAAGATCTGCAAAGAAAACAAATGTTTATAGTAATTTATTTAATAACACAGTTTATTTGGTAATGATGCCAAAAAATTATTAAAAGAAAATAATAATCCCAAAGTGTGTTCGTTTTAATCGGTATATTCACGAGGAATGAGTAGGATTAACAAAAAATGACAAGGATATCTTTGTATGTCATCGATAGGTGTAAATGTGCGAAATAAATGTACTTAGTATATAGGGCGAGGATGTGTTGAAGATGTCGTGGGTGACAGGTCGGTTTGAGAGATCGAAACGAAAGAGGTGATATGCTAATCCAGTTCTGTCAAGAAGAAAAATTAGTCATTGCGAATACCTGGTACAAACTGCCACCTACGAGACTCTACACCTGGCAGTCTCCACAACATATGCATGACAACATCGTAAAAAATCAAATTGATTTTTTATTGATTAATCAGAGATACAGAAATGGATTGCAAGGAGTAAAAGTGTACCCTGGAATAGATATCAGATCTGATCACAATCCTGTAGTGAGAAAATTGAAAATTAAGTTTAAGTCTGTTTTATCGGTGCACCAAAACCTAGGGACTGTTATTTACAGACAAAATGTCTCGAAATTTGGACACAATATTCGAAATTATGTTGTTTTTAAAATGATGTTTTACTTTTTTTATTTTTTTGAAACTTCTGTTGAAAAATTGGATTATATTGTTTAACGTTCTATTATAACCAAACTTTTTACACCCATCACTTGAAAGAGTTTTTTTTTGTAATCGTTGTTTTTTTTTCAACTTTCTATGTCCAGTAATAATCGTGAAAAGCGTGTTCCAACTTTGAAGAAAATGGCTAAAAAATACTGAAATCTAATAGTGAAACGTGTCACTCATCATTGTCGCTTAGTTTCACCGTTATCGCCTTCGTGACGTCAAATCTCATGAACGTACGGTCAGTTACTTCGTGTTAAAACTAATTTGAATGGAGAGTAATGCATTTGTTGTCATTAAATAGGCGTACCACAACATCTAATTACGCTTATAACCGAACTATATGAACACACTACTGGATCAGTTAAAGTACTTGACACACTTTCGAACGAATTTTATCCAGAACGGGGTGTCAGACAAGGATGTATACTATGTATACTATGCGAAGAGCACTTGAAGGATGGGAAAAGGGCATTTCCATAAATGGTCATGAACTAAACAACCTACGTTTCGCAGATGACACAGCCCTTCTTGCAAATAGTCAAGCAGAGCTGATAGAACTTATACGACTGATCGAAAACGAAAGTCAAATATTTGGTCTGCAATTAAAAATATCAAAGACAAAGATCATGATAGTGGATAGACTACACAACAATCATCCACACATAACCACAATTGACCGGTTCGAGGTTGTGAGCTCATACTTATATCTGGTTTCATTAATCACAAACACAGGGTCATTACAAGAAGAGATTAAACGTAGATGTGATCTAGCAAAAGTTGCCACAGCAAAAATGACCAGAATATGGAAGGACTGTCAAATTTCAAGAGCGATAAAGATGAGGTTGATCAACTGCTTAATATTCCCAATACTGACCTACGGATGTGAATCTTGGACTCTGAGACAATCGGAGAGAAGAAAGATAGACGCCACTGAAATGTTCTGTTGGAGACGAATGTTACGAATTCCTTGGACCGACCGTAGAACAAATAATTCAATTTTAAGAGAGCTAAAAGTTAGCCAACGACTCTCTAGTAAAGTCCATATCCAACAATTAAAATATTTTGGGCATGTTATGAGAGCAAACACAGAAAACATGGAAAGACTCATAATACAAGGAAAGGTAGAAGGCCGAAGATCGCGAGGAAGATCCCCAACAAGATAGATAGATCAAATTACAGGAATATGCCAAAGACCTATGCATGAATTAAAAGAAATGACCAGAGACAGAGATCTCTGGAGACGGACAATACACGACATCACGTCGACCACTACACTCCTCCTGGGGGGTCAGGATTGGAGAGAGAGAGAGAGAGAGAGAGAAGGCTACTTAAAATTTCCTGGACAGATCACACAACAAATGTCAAAGTATTAAATCGGATGGACAGAGAACGAGAATTGCTGCCAATAATAAAAAGAAGAAAAACTGCTTATCTGGGTCATATATTTCGAAATTCCAAGTACCAGCTCTTTAAGCTTATTATGGAAGGGAAGATAGAAGGAAAGCGGGGCATCGGAAGAAAGAAATACTCATGGCTCACAAACATAAGGGATTGGATAATCCTCGATGCCCATGCACTCTTTAGAGCCACACAAGATCGGAGGAGTATGCGAGAATTGTCGCCAATGTCCACTAATTGGATAGGGCACCATACGAAGAAGATGTAATATTGACAATTTTTTGTTTTTAATATTAATATAAGTTTCCTTTAACAACTTTGACAGTTTGAAATGAATTAACTTGATCAAAATGAACAAACGAAACAATATTATATTAGGGTAGAAAGTATTTTCCTGTTTATTTAATAAAATTTAACTCGGTCCTTTAAACGTGAAGGTGTATAAATTTTATTTATGCAATAAAAGTTTTATAACAAAAATTTTTTAGGCGCATCACGTGAATAAAAAATATATTTACGATTCTTTCCTGCCGTGGGCAAACCCATTTTCAGAATAAATCCAAATTAAATTTAATATAAACCACGTGGATAAGGGAATATGGTGTAAGAGGACATGAAAATTTCAAAATGTATATCAAAATATCGCTAGAAGTAAAAAACATGAAAATATTTTGTATCAAAATATATTCCCGCGGGTTGTACATTTATTTGCGAATTTTGAGATTACGCTTTTGAGTTTATATAAAAATAAAAATATTTTGCTCTGAGCCGGAGATTTTTCAAAACATACTTTGTTTATTTTTCTTATTATTTTGGTAAACATTTTAATAAGAGCATAATTATGGTTGAATAATTATCGGCATAAACTGAAGAATGAGATAAATGAAAAGTACATTCCTACTAACCTTGTACTAAAAAAATATCAATTTGGTATGTGTATTGCGTGTTAAGATATTTGTAATATACAATGTGATGTTGCTATTCAATTAAGTAAAACAATTTGAAACCAATACAAAAAGTACAAAAATATTGATCTATTAACGGAGTACAAAAAATGTAGAGCTGAAGTAAGGGGAATGATAAAAAAATCAAACAAGAATCCTGGCAGAAATACATATCTAGCATTAACAGCAACACAAATATATTATCGGTTTAAAAAAAGTTAAAAAATTTAACAGGACAGCCACCTTACCACCAAATCGTAAGTCTAGAAAAAGAAGGGACGGTACTAACTGATTCACAGGATATTGGCGATGTCAAACGAAAGAGGCGGCACGGTGCGGTAAAAATTTGAACTAGTGCACGTAGGATAACAAAACATTTTGTATTTAGTTATATACATATAACATAGTTATAAACATTTTAAATATTATTAAATAAAGCACTATAAGATAACAAAATGTTAAAAAGTATTGTTCTGCAGGGCAATGCAGTAATTATCTATCGAAGGAATAACTATGCACTTTTTTCCGCGTGACAAAAATCTACAAGATCGTTGGGCACAGGAATTAAAAATTGGGAAATCGATATCAAGTGATATGATCGTGTGTTCACAACATATTTTATCAATAATTTTGTTTTCAAGTAAAGTTGCTAAACAGAATTGCAAAATTTATTATATATAATGTGCCTACCTAACCTAATCAAATATATACACTAACATAGATCCTAATTAAAATTTCTATTACAACTGCAGCAGGGCAAAAGAAACTTTAAAAGAAAGGTGTTATTTTCTCTCAATGCCTTCTTAAAGGGAAACACGAAAGGAAAATCAATGAGGAACTGGTGAATGCTAGACTAATGCGTAATAGAACACACGCACATTCCTCCCTGGCGGGCTTTACAAGTTTATTTTACCACCCACTCGTCTCTTAGCACATCCACAGTGATTTCATGTAGAGCACTATTTAAATTAGTCGTTTGCAGACACAAACCGACTAATTTGTTATTATATTTGCCACACAACACAACGTGGCCAGCCTTCAACAAGGCCTCGCCTTCTTTTAAAGGTCTTTTTCTATCTCTTATATATTTCAAACTGTATTATTATTTATATATTTTGTATCTCTTATATATATATCTCTCATATATTTGGGAACGATTATCGAATCTTCAGCCCAACTGATTGCGTATGCAGACGATATTGCACTGGTTACTAGAGATTTAAAAACCATGCAGAACATAATATTAATACTAGATAAAGAAGCAAAGAAGAGAGGGCTAGTAATAAACCAAAGCAAAACGAAATATCTCAAGTGTTCAAGAGAGAATACGAACATAGAGAAAGAAATTAAGCTTGGTGCATATACATTTGAAAGAGTACACCGTTTCAAATACCTGGGAGTGATGGTAAATGACAGAAATGATAGAACAGATGAAATAAATGAACGCATCCTACTGGGTAATAAAACCTACTGGAACTACCAATAAGAAAACCAAATTAAAAATTTACAAGACTGCAATCAGGCCAGTGATCAACTATAGTGCAGAGACGATATGCCTAACACAAAAAGATGAAATGAGGTTAGAAATCTTAGAGAGAAAGATAATTCGACGATTAATGGGGCCAGTGAGGATAAGTCAATGAAGAAATTAAAGAAATCATCGAGGGTGAAGACATAATCAAATTTAAGAAAGACAGGGCCAAGTCACACACGCTGCTATAATAATAAAAAGAACAACAGTAGACTGATTCTTCGCAATAAATGAATCAGAGAGCCCAAAAGGGCGGCAAACACTTTGCCAGAAGTGAATAAGCCATGATGATGATGATATACTTCAAAATATGGAGCAGACTAACTTCAATTTCTTTATTTGCCATTGCGTTAACAAAAAAATAAATGGAAGACAATAAATACGGATAATTTATCTACAAAGATTATGGTAGCTCTGTTTTGTTTTTCTACGTGCGTGATCAGCTGATCATTTGTCAAAGCGCCCCCTATAGTTTGTTGACATCGCTAATAGTAAATGAACAAGCTAATACCTATCAAAAATTCTCATCCAGCCAAAATCACAGTAACGAGTTCTTAACTACAACTACAAACAACAGGGGAAGGCAGTAGCGGAGCCAGCCCAACAGTGAGACAAGTCCTACAGTAAGACACTGTTTGTCTCCCACTTATCACGTGACCGATTAAGTTTTCCATTGGTGAGCAAAAAGCATACATACCAACAAGTAATCGCCAAAAGTGTTGAACACGCGGCTGGTAGAGATGCACGCGCCGTTTAAATTAATTTAATTTCCACGTGTGCAAGTAAATATTTACATTTTATTGTATAAGTGAGGTTACAAAAAGACTATCGACTACACGTGCCCAACAGTGAGACACCCAGTTGGGCAAATGTGACCAAAATTTTTTTTGAAGGGTAATTATGGATCTAAAGAAAAGAACAATTGAAAATTTAGCAGAGATAACAATGAGAGAAGCAGTAAGTCTGACCAGAGAAGGAGGATCTTTGAGAAAAATAGCTGCTTTGAAAGATATGCCATTTCAGACATTGGCTAGATATGTTGAGAAAGCCAGAGACGTTGACGACAGTCAAATACGGATGAGTTCCAACTACAGTATTAATAAAATATTTACGTCCGCAGAAAAAGATTCCCTAGAAAACTAAATCATCAGCTGCTCACGCATGTTTTATGAGTTGTCTGTTGACGATTCCTGCCGAAAAAAAAATTCCTGTCAAATGGTATGAAAGAAAAATAGCAGGGCTGAAATGGATTTCAGCCATTTCATGATAGATTTCGCCGAAGACCTGTTCAACTGTCGCTTCGCACCCCCGAAAGATGTAGTTTATTCCGTGCAACGTCATTTAATAGACATCTTCTTCTTCTTCCTTTGCTCTATCCGTTTTAAACGTTGGCTATTAACAAGGCTATTTTGACTTTGTTTACGGCACCTCTGAACAGTTCGGTCGATGTTAGTCCGAACCATTGTCGCAGGTTATGCATCTATGAGTGTCGTCTTCTTCCCGGTCCCCTCCTACTGTCGATTCTTCCTTGGACTATTAACTGTAGCAGCCGATACTTAGTATGCCTCATGACATGTCCGAAGTACTCAAGCTTCCGTTTCTTTACGGTGAAGAGTATTTCTTTGCTTTCGCCTATTCTCTGCATTACTTCCACGTTAGTGATGTGGTCTGTCCAGGATATCCGAAGAATACGGCGATATATCCACATCTCAAAGGATTCTAGTTTCTTCAGGGTGGCTTCCGTTGTGGTCCATGCCTCTGCTCCATAGAACAAGACCGGGAAGACATAACACTTGACCAGTCTTAATTTCAGTTCCATTGAGATTTTGCTTGTGAACCACTTTTTCATATTGTTAAACGCGTTTCGCGCTTTTTTAATTTGTGATCTTATTTCTGTTGACTGGTCCCATTTTGTGTTGACTGTGGTTCCAAGGTATGTGTATGTCTCCACTTATTCTATTTTTCGGTTGTTTAATGTCAATTGCATCGGAGGTTGTTGTGTTCTGCTGATGAGCATGCATTTAGTTTTGGTTGTATTGAGTTCCAAACCATATTCTTGACTTGCTGTGTGTATGCTTTGCGTGAGTCTTTGAAGCTCGTTGGAGTCATTTGCAATAATAACTGTGTCGTCAGCATATCTTATATTATTGATTTCCTCTCCGTTTACTTTGATACCCTCCGAAACTTCTCACAGTGCTTCTCTGAAGATTTGTTCAGAGTATATATTGAACAGGAGTGGCGAGAGGGCGCATCCCTGTCGTACACCCTTTTTAATATCTATCTTCCCACTGTGTAAGTTGGCCATCTTTATCTCAGCACTTTGGTTCTAATAGAGACTGGTTATTATGCGCAGATCCTTGCCATCAATTTGCATCTTCCTGAGCATTAGACTGTCTCCTGAGCAATAGACATAGTATTTCAATTTTTTACCAAAATTTGAAAAACATATATTCAAGAACTGATGCGTTTGCTGACGGAAGAAGAATCTACAATTTGGATGAGACTACGACGGTTCAAAAATCAGCAATGGTTATTGCTGAGAGGGGTGAAGTAAGTTAGCAAGGTAACAAGTGGAGAGAGATGCACATTGGTTACCACTTGTTGCATCGCTAGTGCCACGGGACAATACCTACCACCAGCAATGGTTTTTCCTTGGAGCATATGCTACGAGGCTCCCCATCAGGAACGTTGGGGCTTGCTACTCCAAGTGGGTGGATGAATGCTGATTTTTTTTTAGAAGTAATGAAGCATTTTATAAAATATTCTAACAGTTCTAAAGAAAATCCATCGCTTTTAATCTATGACAATCATCAAAGTCATCTTAGTATTCGTGTTCTTTATTTGGCTAAAGACAACGGAGTAACAATTTAAAATGTTCTCCTAATTCCACAAATAAGATGCAACTACTAAATGTAGGAGTATTCAAAGCATACTCAACATGTTATATTGCATTTGTAGATACCTAGATAATGCAATAATCCAACATCTAGGTAAGCCTTCCACCATATATGAGGGAGCTGAGTTCGTCAGCTTTGTTCATGAAAAAGCTTTCACACCGAGCAATATTATAAATGCATTTAAAAAAGTGTGGTGTATATCCATACGATGCCAATGTCTTCACAGGTATAGACTTTCTACCAAGCGCTGTTACCGTTCGCGATTTAAAAGATGATGTAAGCCAAAAAAAGTCCATCGATCTACCAAGTACATCAACATCAACAAATAAAATATCCGTGAGTAATAATATTCAGAAAAATATATCGGATATAGAAAATGATGCTACCTTAGACACCAGTATTGAAAATATCAATCAACAGAACGATAAAAATGGCAAAACTGTCACAGATGTTTTAAAAGTATTATAGCTACTGACAAAGATGCCATAGAAGAACGAAGCATTACGAAGAAAAGAAAAATTAATAAAATCGAAGTAAAGAAAGTAGAAAAGGTCATGAAACATATATTTGAAAATAGTTCTGAAAGCTCAGAGGAGGAACTTGAAATGAGTCAGAATAGTATGAAATTTCGTATTTTAGAAAACAAACGAAGAGCACTAGCAAATTTGTATTTCCCAATATTCCAGATGAAGCGATTGTTGCTTTAAAAGATATCAAGCTCATCGTGCCACCCCCAATTCCTTGTGGGCACACTAGCCGACAGATGGCTTCTTTTACGTTTGAGATAGATTTTGGATTAATGGACATTAGGTAAATGCATACCTAGATATTATATTTTTATGTTTACTCATTTTTTATGTTCTGTATATATTTTTGTTTATTTTGGAAGAGTCTTTTGTATTTAATAAATATGATTTATAAACTATGTTCGCAGCAATCAGTATCAAAATTATGTTATGATAATGATTTATTAATCTCAATAATAATATCCTTAATTAATTTTTTCAGAACACAATAGCCTAAATGAGATTTTTTAATATGTTAGATTACATATTTTCATTTATTTTCCCTGTCTCACTGTTGGATTTAAAGTGTCTCACTCTATGTCATGTGTGTCCTACAGTTAGACAAATGCACCTATCTATATTCTTGCAAAAAAAAATATCAAACTTCAAAGTTACAAATATTTCACTTACAGAGAGATTAATATAAATGTCAAAACCTATGCTGGTGTTTAATTTTTTCATTTTGGATGGATAAAAAAAATTACACTAAAATAAAAAATACTGTTTCACTGTTGTGATGGCTCCCCTACATATTTTAATTTCCGACGAATTTACCCTATCAATACTATTCTTAGTTATGACAAGTTTCAAGAAGCACTTAATAGCATGAAAGATACTTTACTAAGTCCAGACGACATACCAATATAATGTATTAAGAAACTTCCCATAGAAGCAAAAGAGTTTCTACTCCAAATTTTGTACGAACTGTGGCATTTGAGCTAGCAGAACAATTTAATCTATAGTCAAGACTTCCTAGCTGTACAACAGGAACGTCATATTCCGCAGCGTAGTCGAAGAAATGGAGGTCGTCAAGAAGATCGAGGTTTTCGGATTCTCAATGGGAAAAACATCCAACAAAATTGCCGGAACTGACTGTGGTGTACTGTAAATTTATTAATTCTTTTTTTTTTTTTCATGTTTAAGAATAAAATGTCTTCCATGGTTAAGAAAAAAAATTAATGTAAGTTACAATTACAATAGAAACAATAGAAAAGCTGGTTTTGACTGGTTACAGTTTTTTTTACGGCACAGTCCAGAGATATCAGTGCGAAAACGTGAAGGAATTTCTTTGGACAGGTGAAAGGGTTAAACCAGGAGGTAGTTAAACAGTACCTTAGTCTACTACAAAGCATTTTAACCAATACCAGTCAATTAATAAATAAGCCGGAGCATATTTTCAACTTAGATGGAACATGTTTATAATTAAATAATAGGTCTGGAGATGTACTCGCGTCTATAGGATCCAAGAATGTTCCTGTTATTACATCAGGAGGAACAATGTATGGGATAAGCTGCTGCAACGCTAAGCAAAGCATTTGGATTAAAAATGACATTCTTTAAAAGACGTTAATAAAAGATGTAAATGAAATAACGAAAATACTTACTCATTAACGGTCCCAATAGCAAGCTGGTTAGTCCACTGAGGACGGAAAACAGTGTAAAGGCTCTTGAAAAATTATCTCGATATGCCTCTGCAATAACTAAAGAGTAAGGCGTTTGTATAAACGTTCGTAGGATTCCAAGTATAACTAAGATTCCCATTCGCCATGCGTAATCATCATTAATAATGAATACTGAAAATTAGGTTTTAATTAATTGAAAGATTTATAATAAAAAATGTGATTTTTCTTCTGTTTTATTGAATAAAAGAGCGGCAATAGCAGAATTATGTTAAAAATATAATGTAATGAAATTAGAGTACTCTCTTTTTCTGTTAGACGTACTCTACTAGTGTCTTAAATATTGTATTTATATGAGATTAAACCACAATTGATTGTAACCAAAATTAAATTATTACTTTTATTTTTAACACATTCTATAGCATCCATATTTTCGTATATGTGCGTCTACGGGACAAGGTTATTATATTGTAGTTTTTTGTATATAAAACCTTGCTATTTGAATATTACGTGAAAATTAATGTTTACAAAAAAAATTAAAAAAACGCGTTGTTTCCAAAACCCGGCCCGTGGAAGCACTTCGATGCCTTCGAATATAAGATTAAGTTATCTATCAGAATTTCAGAACATTTGAAAAGATTAAACTCTTCAAGTTTTGGTCAACATTAATTATCTAGTAAACACAATTTTAACATCAATACTGGTTCGTCTATTTTACATGCTATCAGTAGAAAGAAAAACTATTTGGTGTTAGATTTATTGAAAGATTTGGAGATCACAAAAAAAACAAATTGAAACTCTCTTTAAGTTATCTAATAGAATTTCAGAACATTTGAAAAGATTAAACTCTTCAAGTTTTGGTCAACATTTATTATCTAGTAAACACAATTTTAACATCAATACTGGTTCGTCTATTTTACATGACATCAGTAGAAAGAAAAACTATTTGGAGTTAGATTTATTGGAAGATTTGGAGATCACAAAAGAAACAAATGGAAACTCTCTTTAAGTTATCTAATAGAATTTCAGAACATTTGAAAAGATTAAACTCTTCAAGTTTTGGTCAACATTTATTATCTAGTAAACACAATTTTAACATCAATACTGGTTCGTCTATTTTACATGCTATCAGTAGAAAGAAAAACTATTTGGTGTTAGATTTATTGGAAGATTTGGAGACCACAAAAGACACAAACAGAATTGTCTCATTGTCTTAAATTAAATTAATTTAAATTGTACCAAGTTTAAACTTATTTTTAAAAACTTTGTTGAAGCTTCACCTCGTAGTGGACCCAACTCGGCTATTTAGACTTCCTGCACTGAGTATACCCATTAATAATTTATTAATTTCATACTTTGATCAACATTACTATTGTATTCTTCAACAATTTACAAAACTAGCTTGCTCAGGGTCAATTGATCTATAGTTGGCGTTAATTACACTCTCCATACCTCTGCGTAATTTAGATATACCAATTCCACAGTTGTATATTTCAACATCTCCCACTGTTGGTCAGTTGGTCTTTACTAACGCTTTTACATATTAGTTTTATAGTTCTCCCATTGACTGGGGGTTTAACTGAACTACTTGCTTTAACTACTATACACTGCTTTTAATTGTGTTTTAATTTTTAGTATTTTAATTTCACAGTCAGATTTCTTTTCTTTTTTACAGTATTGACAGTGCCTGATAGACCATTTTATTGTAGTCAACCACTCACTGTCTAATAGATGGTTTAGTCTATTTCTTTCATTCACACTTTATGTCCACTTCATTTGCTATCAAACTAACAACCTTATTATTAAAGACAGGTGTAAGTGTGAGATCTGGATTATGCAATCTAGTTAAATTAAAATATTGTATATGTCATATTTCATAATTTCTATAGTAGTGTCAGTAGTGTCAGTTGAACCTTTGGTCAATGCCAGCTTACTTACACAGAATTTTAATATGTGCAGATCACAATTCCATGATCTATGGCAAAAATTTAAGCACACCGGGCTTCTTAGTGATTTCCAAAGCCACCGCAGATTTTCAAATAACTTAAAAACATCTCTAAAAACCCTAAGACAAAATTTTGAAACAAACGTTATTGAAAGCGGTAACATTAAAAAAGTCTATAAATACATACGTTCCTCCATGACATCTAAAATTTCCATTCCGCTACTTCAAAAACCCAACCAGACTTTATGCTCTTCTGATAAAGAATCTTCCAAAACTCTCTCTCTCTAGCATTTTTACAGGTTTTTACTAAAGAATTAAATGATGGTTATCTACCTGCTATTAACTGTAATCGTGTCGGCGCATCCTTACAGCAAGTGGAATTCACAGTGGATCATGTCAAACAACACTTAATTAAACTTCGCACGGCCGCTTCACCTGGTTTAGATGGTTTAACACCAAAACTGTTAAAAAGGTGCGCATACACGCTTGCAATACCCTTAACGTTAATTATGCAAACTTCTTTCATCCAGAACTCCTTACCCCCTAGTTAGAAATTAGCTTCGGTTACCCCTATTTTATAAAAGGCAACAAACTCGACCCGAACAATTATCGTCCGATTAGCTTGCTGCCAGTAGTTGCTAAAGTTATGGAAGCCATTATTTCCGAGGAGATGACCAAATTTCTTCTCCAAGAACATGTTATTCCAACACAACAACATGGATTTGTCTCTGGTCGCTCTACTCTAACCAATCTCCTACATTGTGTTAACGACTGAACGTCATCCCTTAACAGTTCGCAGCCTGTCGACGTTGTTTAACTACATTTTTCTAAAGCCTTTGACCGTGTACCTAAGCGCAGACTTCTACATAAGCTAGAACATTTCGGAGTTCGCGGTACTTTACTTCGTTGGATAGATGATTTCCTGACAGATCGATATTATAAAGTTAGAGTTGGCGAATCTTTCTCATAGGACAGGTTAGTGAAAAGTGGAGTGCCTCAGGGTTCTGTCCTTGGACCTCTGCTGTTTACGGTTTACACACAGCGATATTCCTTATTAGGTCTCAAGTAAAATATCGTTCTACGCTGACGACACAAAAATATATGCTAATCCAAACACAAACCAGCTAACACTTCAAATGGACTTGGACTCTATTTTAACTTGGTTTTCCCAGTGGTTACTATCCTTAAACGTGGAAAAATTTGTAGTGCTTCGAATTGGCAAAAATAACCCACTTGTGCCGTACTTTGTTAACGGGTAGCCATTAGAATCTGTGTTTTCGTATAACGATCTTGGTGTTATCGTGAACAGCAACCTAACTTGGTCTGACCATATTACCTCTATTTGTAAACGTTTAAACTCCAGACTGTATCTTATTCGGAGGTGTTTTTCGAGAGTTTCAATGCAATCATTTTGCAAACTTTACACTCTGTACGTAAGACCCATACTTGAATACGCTGGACCAACGTGGTCCTGATCTGGTTCGAGACAAGACTCTGTTAGAAAACGTTCAAAGAAAAATCACTCGAATTTGTTTGGGACCGAGAAGACCGTCTTATGCAGAAAGACTTAGTATGGCTAACCTAACTACTTTTGAACTTCGCCGACAACGTGGAGACTTAATTACTACCTTTAAAATACTAAAATTCAATTTTGGAAACCTCGATGAAATATTTATCATAAATCAAGATGAACGCCTCAGAGGTCATCAGTATAAACTAAAGAAGGAAAATTTTTCTACAAGACAAAGACAGAACTTTCTTCCAAATAGAGTTTTTGAGTGCTGGAATAACCTCAACGATAACATTGTCTCCGCTTCCTCTACCAACTCGTTTAAAAACAGACTTGACAGTTTTATATTATAGTTAAAATATTGTTTTTTTTTAAACCATAAAATTGTAATTTTATTTCTTTTATTTGTAATTTTTGTTATTTACTAGTAGGTGATTAATGAAATTTCTTTGTTTTTGGGCATAATAGGGACTTAGTTCCTCTGCTCTCGTTTATGTTATAATAATAAATAAAAATAATAATAATTATAATAATGATTGTGACTGCCGATCAAAACTGTCATATGTCACATGTCACCTTAACATTTCCGTTAAATACCATTCTCTCCTCCTGTTGCCGACAAGAATGTAGAGCGTAGAATAATTTTTTAAATAATTTTAAACCTTGTTTTAGTGTAGTGTTATGTATTATTTATGTTGTATTTTCATGTTTATTACATTCTGCGCTTGCTGGAGAGCCTAAATTTGACGAAGTAAGTCTAAAGCGTTAATCACAAAAAACTTTTATCATCCATTAACTTCGAGTTTTTTATCGAAGTTAATCAATTTTCTTCATTTACAAAAACGTTTCGTGGCTTATTTCAGATGCTCCTGACGATGCTGTAGAAAGCGAAAGTACTTGGGCAAGATTTGATTAATAAAATTGTGCTCGATATTTGCCTTTAATTTTTCAAAGTTCATTTATTCGAGCATTCAACCTTATATCAAAAGTAAATTAGCTGTAGATTTATCAGATCAAGTTGGAGCCTATTCAAATCCACTCAGGAAAAGTGAAAAGTGGTTTCGAAAAGTGGGATTTGAACTTATCCTAACCACATCTTTAGTAAATGCGGACATTTTACATATATACATAATATTCCAGTTGTACTAGAAGATTTACATTTTATTGTAAGATTTTTTTATTTGTACATTATTATCAATTTATCTGTAAACAATGTAAGCTTTTAACACTATTAATTAAACTTCAACAGAATATTTTTAAGCATACTGCAGACTAATAAGATTGCATACTTACAAATTCTAAAAATAGCTGTGAGTAGCGTCGATCCATACACCAAATATCTATTGTTAAACGAGTAAAAGGCACTCAAAATTGCATAGATAGTTCTGCTAACCAGATCACATCCAAAATGCACCATTGTTAATTTGGCAATATCTACTGAGGAATAATTTATGCTACGCAAAACCGACGCCAGCATTCCGACAAAGAGATTGTCGCCGTGAAAAGTCAGGCTGATTCCGATCGCTATATTAAGGTATTTTGCACTTTTTAGCAAATCAAAGTAGGACATATATCTAGAAAAATAAAACATTTTTATTACTATGAAACAAATAAAGACTCTGCCTTAAACGAATATATTTACTTGTTAAAAAATATAAAAATTTGCAAATATTATAACTGATTCCAACCCCTTTCTTTCATAGTTAAAGACTCAAAATTTTCTTATTCGACCAGGACAGATCTGTGAAAAAACGACTACATTTGGATGTCAAGGGTGACATTCTCATTTTTGCAGAAAAAGTTGTGTGATAAGTGGTTGAAAAACATTGAATAAAAACGGGCTAGGTTCCCATTTTTTGTATTTATTGCTATTTTACAGCAAGGGTAAACTAGGGTTTTAACTAGTTGTACCTTATAGCAAATTCAATTATCACTATTTTATTTTATTATGACTTTTCTACAAAAATAAATTGTGTTAATGCTATAAGCAAGAAAAGAGGAAAAAACGATGTTTTCAATTATTTTTAAATATTTTAATTGTTTTTACCCTGATAATTTGGTATCCTGCAAACAGATGCAGCAAATGCCATGATCTTCAAGCAAAACGTAATCGCAATAATTTTTGATATAGAAACTTCTTTTGATATAACATGTAAGTCGGTTATCCTTAAAAAACTGGTAAAAAATAATCTTGCAATATATGCATATTATGCATATTGCATATTATGCTTTATAAACAACTTTTTAAATAATAGAAATTTCAGAATCCCAGTTAACGGAGCATTATCCGACAATGAAGTTGGCTCTTCTGTCATCACAGTTGATACAGTATTATGACAATGCTGAATAGTCAACGAATGTAGCGTGTTTTCAGGAGAACTCTTCAGTATTGCAAAAGCTCTCGAGTTCCCTTTTAACAACCATCAAAGTGTAGCTCTGTGCATCGATTCCTTATCCGCAATTCATTCTTTAAAAAATACTTACAATCAACATCACCTACTGCAACAAATACTAGAATTGATCCATTTCCACAGTTCCCAAGGGACTTCAATAACAATATGGGTGCCTTCTCATATCGACATCCAAGGAAATGAGGTGGATGACAGCGTTACAAAAGTAGCATATATATACAACTTGCCCATCTACAACATACAGCTTTAAGAAGATATAAAAAACAAAATTTAAAAAGAATATCCAAGATAAGTGGCAGTAACTTTGGATCAAACACACAAAGCTCAGAGAAATGCAACCTAATGTTAACAGCTATTCATCCCTAGCATCTCTAAAGAGAAAAGAGAAGATAGTAATGTGAAGATTGAGGATAGGTCACATGTCATCTACAGCCCAACAGTTATGCTTCCACTGCAACGATAAACCTATTACCATCAAGCACATCCTCCCACAATTTCTACACTACCATGCCACTCGCATTGCCAACAATATAATTCACAGTTTAAAACTGTGAAGACTTACGAGCCTAATAGACTTCTTAAAGACTACACAATTTTTTAACAAAATATAATTTACATTATTGTTATTCTTTTCTATTATAAACTCTATATCATAACTTTCTAGGTACCATTGCTTTTGTGTCAATGACCAAAGATATCGAAACACGTTAATTCGAAATAAAAAAATTCTTTCCTCAATATTCTCGACCTATTTGAGAGGAAGCATAAGTAAATTGTTATTATTGTTATCACACAACTTTTCTTGCAAATATCAGAGCAGATCAAAATTTCTATTCTCATGTAGGATATCCTTCCATTAGCTGCTTTAAATTGTATTTTTTTCATTCTTCCATTCATCTAAAGGCTGTCCGTTTTTTCTCTGTTTGATTTCTACTGAATCGGACATAGTACAATGTTTCTTCTTAATGTTGTCTTGATTCTTCCATCGTATTTCCTGCAGTTAAATTTTTTTTTCCTTTCTAAGACTCTTTGTTGCATCTTACCTATTGCATGATTCCAAAATTAGATTTTAATAGGCTTCATTCTTTTCTTCTATTACGATTCCTTTTTGTTTTATGTGTCTTGTATAGTTATTTTTGGTTAACCTTTCCTCTGAGGAATCTATTGCTTTATTCGTTATAATTATCTCTGCGTTCCTTATTAGTTTTTTGGACGTCCTCTCTAGGTGTTTTGTGGTCTTTTAGTCAGTGTACCATTATTTTTATTTCATTTAAATTTCATTTTCATTAATATTCAGCTTCATATACCCTGCAAATCTCGATACCTAATTAAAAAAAAGTTATTTATTTGTTTGTTTTTCGACTTACACATTATAAAAAAAAATTAAGCGTATCTTACGTGGATGTTGACTCTTCAATTTGTCGTTCTTTGTCGAGTTTTGCTTGATCTATAAAACAGTAGAAAACTAATAAAATTTATTGTTTATATAGCAACTGATCTACTAATAAATTATAGCAAATAATTTAATAAATAGTACATTGTTTACCGGGTAGGAAAAGCTTAACATTCCTGGACGACTGTGAAGATTGCTAAGTCGAGGCGCAAGCCGAGACTTAGCAACACAGAGTCCAGGAATGTGGCTTTTCCTACGAGGTAAACATACTATTTTTCCGCAAATCGTTTAAAATTCGACAGATAATGATTGATTTAAAAAAAACGCGATAATTTTTATTCCCAAATAAATGGTGCTTTGAAATTCCTAATAAAATTACTTGGGTTACTATGGAAACGTATTGAGGTTGAATTGTCAAACTTATGTAGAACACTAACAACTGTACGGTACAGTAAGGAAATGACATTTCCTTACAGTAAGGAAGTCCTGACTTTTTCTTCAAGAAATTTTGACAGGAATGTCAAAATTTCCTGGCGATTTGCGGAAAAGTATATTTTTATTATCGACAAAACGTGGCATCATTGCTCCACTACTACTGTGGTATATTAGAAAAAAATAAACACTTGCCGATTTCTTTTTCACCTCCCAATAGAGCTCCTTTTTCTGCATGGCTTGTAATATTTTTATGGTCACTGGTAACTTTTTCTGTAAATAATTTTTTTATTTTAATTATTTAACTGAACTGCTTGTTATCAGATTATTTTTATATAGGTACATCAAAGTAAAATACATAAAAACATTAAAGTAACGCCAGTATTTAGAAACAATTCATTTAAATTTGCTTGGTTTTACAATAGCTAAAATTCTCTTTAATTACAGCAATTTCCATTATTCTTAGTTTGAATGGAAATAAATGGTGTTGTTAAATCTTCTTGGTCTTTCACAATATAACAATAACACTATAATCCCTTTAATGATTTTCAGAAATTGAGAAATATAAATCTGTTGTTGGAAATTTTGGAACATATGAATAGTATTCGGCATTTTACCTCTGGCAAGGAAGAAAATAAGCTGAAAAAACCTTATTTGCTCCGTGCGTGACTGACACGACACCTACCGCCTTTTTCTGACAATTTTGGAGTCCCAATTTTCAGGTTAAATATATGACATATGTTTGACATTGTTAAATACATGCGAAATTGACAATTATTAATAAATTAGTTTTTTAACTATATTTTTTCAGTTTATGTACAAAATAAATGTAGTATTAAAAACTGGGTTTCTCAAAATTCATCATAATATATCTTTTCAACTAAAAACGTAAGAGAAAGGGAAAAATCTAGTACTGACAAATCAAGTTTTTCACGCAAAAGAGCATATAATTAAAAACAATAATAGTAAAAGTTATGATATAAAAGCTAAAGTCATCTGCAGTTAGCTTGAAGCCTTATGAAATATCATTCAAGGTAAATTATTTAAATTTTTCCTATTTCAATTGCGTAAAAATAAATTATGTGATATTTACTTTTTCATATTAATAGCAGGAATTTATCTTTTTCTTTTCTCTAATTTATATGTAATCTTTGGGAACCTATAAAAACTACACTCACTGTTTTTGCTATTATTAGCACAATTAAATACGCAACATGTATTTGCACACATTTTTGATAAAATTTATGCGTAAAAATATTTTGTCCAATATTCCAATTTTGTCATATTTCGCCGCTATGCACGCTGGCGTCGTTTCAATGTACCCCTACCATGGTCACGCACGGAGCGAATACAGATATTTAAAAGTTCTAAAAGGTATATAGTTTAGTCGTCAAAGGGTTGACCCAAAAAAATCATACAAACCAGCTGAATTTTCCCAAGAATATTAATTTTTGGATGCAATATATGATTAGAAAACGAAATATCTATGTGTAGGCTCTCAGAGCGAAAATTTGGAGTTGGACAACGGTCAAGAAATTCTGCAATGTCAAGAATATGAATATTTAGGTATCACATTCGACAATACCGGAACAGATGTGAAAGAGATAGAAAAACGAATAGTTACAGCTAAAAAGATAATAGGATGTCTGAATGGCACCTTGTGGACCGAAAATTTAATATATACGAGACAATGGTTAAGAGCAGCCTATTGTATGGAGCGGAAACATGGAGAATTTCAGATAGACAAAAAAAGAAGGTAGAGGCAGTCGAAATGGACGCGATAAAAAGAGCTATGCGAGTCTCACGAAGAGAACGAATGAGGAATGACCATATAAAACAACAAATGGGAATAGAAAGGATAGGATATCGAAAAGAAACAACTTACCTGGTACGGACACGTAGAGCGAATGCAAAATACTAGATGGCCCAAAAAAATACTGAACTGGACCCCAATAGGGAATAGAAAGCGAGGAAGACCCAAACTAGAGTGGTAGCAAAACATAAAAAAGTCAATGAGCGAACGGAATCTATCACCGGAAGATTGCCACGATACAAGAGGATGGAAGTTAGGTGTCGGGCAACGGAGAAGGACGTTCTAAACCGGCATATATATATATATATATATATATATATATATATATATATATATATATATATATATATATTAATATATATATTAATTTTGGGAACCCAAAGAAGATGTAAAAAACTATACCACTTTTATATCTGGGCTTACCCCTAAAACCTAAATAAAAAATGCAGCTGATGTAATTTTGAACAAAAATGCTATTAGCACTTTTTTTGGAGAATGAACTGTTCTCTCAGAAACAAAGCTTGAAGTGACCGTCGATTTTGAATATCAGTTACGCGCGCGAAATCAATGTTCAATAAAATGTGTTTCAGCTCGACAGTAAAAATTCGCAAAAAATAGTTTAATCAAAGTGTCCTATCGACAAAAATCAAGATGCCTTTTAAACGTTAAAAGTGCATCTTTCTTATGCAATTTTTGTATTTTGCCGTAAATAAACTCGGTTTTTAAAAAATGTTAACCAAACAAACGTGGCGAGATTTTTGTCATTTTTGACGAATCTCGTGAGATGAATAAAATCACTGGTCACTCCATTGACCAGTCTTAATTGAGCTAATAACTCCTGAGCTATATATAAATCTTTATCCTGAGCTTACAATTGGATGCTTTTGATTAGGAGCAATTATAATTTAATGTATAATTTAATGTAGCTGATAGAGGGCGCCACATATGTGGCATAAATTTGCGCTTATTTTTTTTTCTCTTTAAGTTAACCCCATTTTTATTAAAAAATATTAAAGACACATTTTTTTTACAAAGAAAAGGTATACTTGTTAGTAACTTCAAAATTCAACCGTTTTCGAGATAATCGCATTTTATAAGTCAGCTGCATAATCATTTTTAGTTGTGATAATTTTGCGGTAAAGCACTGAATACCTGTGAATAAGCATAATTATTAGTTTGTGATTATTAAAACAACTCAAATATGATAATGTAATATCCCGAAATGCTATGGTTGCTAAATGTCTTATTGGAGAGATTTTCATCTTTACAATTTCCTTTATATATCGCTTTTATAAGTTTCTATGCTGGCGTTGTATTACTTTTTCTTTATTGTAAAATCCTGAGGTGAGCGTCACGGAAGAAGCGCTACAAGACGGCGTCACGAGCGCTACGTGACGCCGTAGCGCTCGCGCTATGGCGTCACAATAAAAGTTAGTTGTCAATTAGTTGCAGTTAGTTGTTAGTTGACAGGTCTGTATTTTGTTGCTACGTTATCAGGTGACGCTACTAGCAAACTTAATTTATTGAATTGTTTTAATATAATATAATTTGTTTCAAATATAAATAATAAATAAATAATAACTTTAAAATGTTAAAAATATTATTTAAAAAATATAGAAAACATTATATGAAGCTAAGTGCTAGTCTACAGTGTCAGCTATTGTACCTACCACGTTTTTTTAAGGCAGTTTTGATGCCAGTAGACAACCCCAATGCATTACGGGAAATTTTATAGTAGGCTGATGTCACGAATGCTTTTCACAATTAAAAATAAGTCTTGTTTTGTTCAACCAATGATTTTTGCAATATCTAGTCTATTTTGGTTTCTTAAAGAAAAGCAGAAAATGCCAAAGCATAATAATTTTTCTAATATGGATATGAGAGATACGGTTGCTATTTATTGTCAGCAACACTTTAACGGGCGAGCAGCGAAAAAGGAATATTTAAGAAGATACCCAAACAGGCTGCAACCCAATCACCAAACATTTAAACATCTATTTCGAAATTTAGGCAAAAATGGTTCATTTCGTCCTAAACGTGACAACTAGGTCGACCAAAAATCATTACGCCTGATCAAGAAGATGAAGTAATAGTTCGCGTTGACGATAATTCTCAAGTAAGTACACGACGTTTATCTTCAGCGTTAGGAATCAGCAAAACTTCAGATTTAAAAATCCTGCACCATGAGCATTTTCACCATTACCATTTTACACCTGTGCAAAATCTATTACCAGCAGATTTACCTTTAAGATACAGATTTGTAAATCATATCCGAAACAGGCAAAATCTTAACAACTATTTCGTCGATAGAATATTATTTACGGACGAAGCTATATTCACACGCCATGGTGTTTTTAATTTAAGGAACAATTATTTCTAGGATACTAAAAATCCCCACGTTAAGAGAGAAAGGCATTTCTAACATGAATTTAAAATAAACGTATGGTGTGAAATCATTGGTAATCATTTTTTAGGGCCACGCGAGTTACCTCATAATTTGAATGGTAAGAACTCTTTACATTTTTTACAAAATGATTTTACTGATTTATCGGATGAATTGCTATTAAACTTAAGGCAAAATATGTGGTTTATGCAAGATGGTGCACGACCACATTATACAAGGACAGTGAGAACATACTTGAATACCAACTTTCCGGAACGTTGGATTGGTCGTGGTAGTTATTTTCCTTGCCACTGCGTAGCCCAGAATTTAATCCGCTAGATTTTGGTGTATGGGACGCATTGAAACAACGTGTCTACAAGAATCCCATAAACACTCGCAACCAACTTTGGGAAAAAATAAATACTGCAGCAGTTTCTATTGAACCGATGATGCTATTTAATATCAGACGATTTTTTATGGAACGGATTGTTAAATGTATTGAGGAAAATGGTGGATATATCGAACACTTACTATGACAAAGAGTTTAATTTTAATTAGTTTAACTATTTCTTAATTTGGTTTGAGAAATAAAATGTTTATAACTTTAATTTAATATAAAACGTAAAATGGTTGATGTCAAATCCAATTATCCTATTATTTGTCAAATTATATTATTAATTATCATGTTGATATATTTACTTTACTTAATATTTCGTTAGCTATTAACTTTATTAAAGATATTTCATACCAAAATTCAGAAGTATTAATGTTTTTGTCTATTTTTCTTTCGTTGCCTGTAGTGTCTCCGGAGGCGTGTCAGGTAGAAGCTGACCGCCGAGCCGGACGCATTTAGAAATTCGGAGAAATACTTGGAAATTCCAAGTGTGGGCAAATCCGAATTTCTAATTGACTCGATGTAGGGAAATTCCACTTTTACTACGTAAAACAAAGGATTTGTTTTATATAAAAGCAGACGGAATTTCTCTCATCGGTCAGTCGAGCTTGCCTCTTCTTCTGTAGACCTAGTCGGTGCTATTATTGTTCCGACTAAGCTATTGTTTTATTTCTTATTTCCTG